ATCTTCGCCTTCTGTTTGACCGCCTCCAACAATACGGCGTGATAATCAACCCCACGAAATGTCTGTTTGGCACAGAGTCACTGGAATTCCTTGGACATCACGTTGACCGTCACGGAGTGCAACCACTTGCTGGAAAGGTCAGTGCTATCCGTGATTTTCCTCAACCAAAAACTCTCACCAAACTCAGGAATTTTTCGGTCTCGTCAACTTCTACCGCCGTTTCATTCCCCAGTGTTCCCAGGTCCTCAAACCACTCACCGATCTACTTTCTAATGCCGGAAAGAAGTCGGCACCACTCCCTTGGAATGACTCTGCCACCGCTTCATTTCACGCTATCAAAGTTGCCCTCGCTAACGCCACTCTCCTTGCACATCCAAAGCCAGACGCGCCTCTGTGCGTCATGACGGACGCTTCGGATATCGCAGTGGGAGCTGTTCTTCAACAACGAATTGACAATGCATGGCAACCACTCGCTTTCTTCTCAAAGCGACTTCAACCAGCAGAGACAGGTTACAGCACATTTGGTCGCGAACTGTTGGCCATATACCTTGCCATCCGCCATTTTTGTCACTCACTCGAGGGTCGTCAATTTCTGTGCTAACGGACCACAAACCGCTCACATACGCTCACGACACCAAAACGGACAGACACCCCCCTCGCGAAATTCGCCACCTCGATTTTGTTTCCCAGTTTACCTGTGATATCAGACATGTTAAAGGTGGAGATAACCCTGCCGCAGATGCCCTATCTCATGTCGAACTAAATGCTCTTCGCACGGATCATACTGCACTCATCGATTTCCACAAAATGGCGGAATTGCAGAACACCAGCGAGGAACTTCAACAGCTTGCGCACATCGTCATCCTCGCTCACGTTCAAACAAGTTCCCCTACCATCATGTGACATTACATTAACTTGTGACATTTCTACTGGAAACGCACGTCCATTTGTTCCAGTGGAGATGCGTCGTGCAGTGTTTGACGCTCTACACTCCCAATCTCACCCCGGAATTCGCGCTACGCAACGCCTCATCACGGACCGCTACGTTTGGCCATGTGTTAACCGTGATGTGCGACAATGGGAAAAATCGTGCATACAGTGTCAGCGCTCAAAGGTCCATCGCCATACCTTTGCACCCCTGTCTGAGTTTCTACTCCAGATGCCCGATTATCGCATGTTCACATTGATCTTGTTGGACCATTACCCACATCCAATGGATGTGTATACATGTTGACCTGTATTGACCGTTTCACACGTTGGCCAGAAGCCATCCCGCTACCTGACATCACAGCTGAAACAGTCGCTCGTGCTTTTGTAACGCGATGGGTTGCCTCATTTGGTGTCCCATCGGTTATCACCACTGATCGCGGTGCCCAGTTTGAATGCGCACTTTTTCGCGCACTCACAAATCTGCTTGGTACCACCCGCATACGTATCACAGCCTATCACCCAATCGCGAATGGACTAGTGGAACGTTTTTCATCGCCAACTGAAGTCATCACTACGGGCACAACCAGACGCAAGCCTATGGACAGAGACTTTGCCGCTCATTCTCTTGGGAATCCGAACTGCGGTCAAGTCCGATTTCGGTCACTGTGTTGCCGAACGCGTCTATGGCACCACACTTCGCCTGCCTGGCGAATTCTTTGACAACACCACTGATGCCACTGCCTTAGAGCCTACGAACTATGTTCATCGCTTGAAACGCGCCCAGCAGGATCTCCAGCCACCAACAACCCGCGCACAGCAGCGTCCCACAGTGCATGTTCCCGAGGAACTTCAGACATGCACTCACTGGTTTTCGTTCGTCGTGACGCAGTGCGCAAACCTCTACAACCGCCTTACGACGGACCTTTCAAAGTACTCAGTCGTTCAGCTAAACATTTCGTCATTGAACTGAACAATCGTCAGGACACAGTTAGCATAGATCGCCTTAAATCTGCCCATTTGGATATAGGTCATGCTACGAATTCTGCTCTTCCCAAACCCAACCACACTATCCCAATAGTTCAAACCAATCCTGTAAATACCGAGCAGAATATCCGCACAGTTCATTGGCCCAAACGCTATGTCACATTCGTTCGTTCTTAAGTGTTTTTCAATTTTTTGTTACTTCTCACTCACTGGAAGGGGGCTCCTGTAGCGTTTTCTTCCATAAAATTATAGCTTAATTTGTGAACTTTTAACCCCTCGTACATTGCCCCCAGCAACAGTCCAGTGGTGGACACAGTTAGCATAGATCGCCTTAAATCTGCCCATTTGGATATAGGTCATGCTACGAATTCTGCTCTTCCCAAACCCAACCACACTATCCCAATAGTTCAAACCAATCCTGTAAATACCGAGCAGAATATCCGCACAGTTCATTGGCCCAAACGCTATGTCACATTCGTTCGTTCTTAAGTGTTTTATCAATTTTTGTTACTTCTCACTCACTGGAAGGGGGCTCCTGTAGCGTTTTCTTCCATATAATTATAGCTTAATTTGTGAACTTTTAACCCCTCGTACATTGCCCCCAGCAACAGTCCAGTGGTGGGTAAAAGTTATGACCCTATGGTATCAATCTCCCTAATTGATTGATTACTATTACTGGGCCAGCCCCACTTTTATCACCTAGCCACAAAGTCCATTAGTACATTCCTTTGGTCTCTAGTTTTTATTGCTTTTAAATTGGATAGTCAGCCCCACTTTACTTATTAGATTCTTCACTCACTCTCCTTTATTACTTTCTTCGCTCACTCTTCTTTCAACCATCAAACGAGACACATGTCTCCGAATTCTCTCTTGTAATTACGGTAGTCTAGTTGTTCGATTGCTAGAATAAAGTCGCTGTACGACCAACATCGTGTTTTCATAAAAGTGGGCTCAGAAATAAAATCAACTTGTACAGTATGTGGGAGAACTTGAGGACTGTCCCTTTTAAGTTGTTTTGTAATCAGACGTTTCAACTTATCAGCTATATTTCCTTTGTTTTTGCTCACTTATAATGGAAAGGGAAAACTGTAAATAACCTTATTAGATCACATCACATCACATATCACATCATTCTCCTAACGCGTCCATCGGATGCGGACTGCTACAGCTGTCATGCCCGCATTTCAAGGTCTGCTTCCAGCTGGAAC